CAGGACCGGCTTTGTCAGGTGCTAACACTTGACTGGGTTCAAGGAAGAAGAAAACATGCTCATTGCCTGATAGAAAGTGAACTTGACCTGCAGTACGTGTTGTGATGGATAAAATAGTGGCATGCTGATGACTGACATTAAATGCTGTGAATCGAATGAAGCAGTCATCCCCACATTGACAGGGAACGGAGTCCCATTTTTAGCGTTTGGTGTCATTCTCTCCCTGTTGGCTGTAGCCCTTTCACCAACGAAATACCATTTTCCTCTCTGTTGTAATCACCCTTCTCATGTTCTGAGCAACATTCAGAGTTTGAAGGCATTGTTTGTGTTTCATGGAAGTGATTAAAACCATGTTACAAGTCAAACAGGAGTTTAGAAGAACATTTCCTGTCGGTGCTGCACTCGGTGTGCCTACTCAGAATTAATAGCTTTTCTGCAAATTAGCACATAATGGGTTAAAAGCATGTTTATGTTGGCATTAAGTACCCTGGCTTCTTTTTCTCTGCAAGGCAAGACAATATTTTGCAAACTTTTTAAAGAATCTCTAATAGATATTATAGTGGCGCCATTCACACTGCTATATAGTAGTTAAGGCTGTGTCAGCACTTCCATTATGAATCCTGTTTTTCAGGGATTTATAACCCAGCCGTAAAAATTTGCTCTGGGCTGAAATTTGGTTTCAGCTCAGGGAGCACATTTTTTAACAGATTAAAAAAAAATCAGTGTGGCCTTTTTTGAGTTATGGGAGTGTAGGAAATAAAAAAACCCTGGGAGAGAGAAGTCCGGGGACAGAAAGACAGACAATTTTTTCATGAATATAACTCAGAAACAGGTCAGAATGAAAAATAAAGCTTGGCTCCAGTCTTTTCAGTCTCCCTCTCCCCAAGCCAACAGGACAGGAGTGCTCTATTTTTATAATGGCATTTTAAGAGGAAATGTGATATTTTTTTTTCTCTGTGGTTTATAGGTAGTACAATTTAATTCTACAGACATTTATTGCATGCTTAATATCCTCGTCTTCCCCCTGCACACCCTAGAGTTGCTCTGCGGGGTTTGGTGGGATTGTTCAGCAGTCACGGCTGTTTGCAGGGTCTGACCCAGTCCTGGACCTGCCCCAGCGTCCCGGCGAGACACACGGCGCATCTGTGGTAGGGCAGCCTCTCTGGCACAACGCCTTTCACAGCACTGCGATGCCATGGAGGTGCTAAGGGCAGAGGAGTGGCTCAAGACCCCCATAGTGTTTCTGGAGCAGGAGGTGAAGACCTGGCTTGTTGACCATGTGAAGCATATGAAGCCTTGTGATCCCTTTGTGTTTCTTCCACGGGGCTGCCTGTTGACACCCATATCTTGGGCATGTGGTCTCCCCACTGTCCTTGGAAGAGCCATGTGTGGGATACCTGCTGTTGAACTGGATTGGGCTCTCCTTGTTCCCAGCCTCACCTGACCACGTAAACAAGAGACTCGTCCCAACCTCTGGCATCAAGTGGGCTGGGGCTTTCCACAGCCAGAGAGCTCTGGAGCTCCACCTAAGGCGCCTCTTTGTGTCAGTAGAAACCACATGAACGGCGGGACGGGCTGGGTCTTGAAAGTGGGCCTCAACCTACGTTTATCTGAAGCTGTGGGTATATCCACAGAAACTTGCATGAAAGGCTGGGATGGAGGAGGCTGAGATCTGCCGCTTTAAAGTGCTGCTGGGCCTCCCTCTTGCACTGGCGCTGTGCGTGGGGCTCGAGTGTCCCTGCAGCCGGTTGTGGAGGGGCAGACGGCTCAGCTCTTGCCAGCTCGGGCATCAGTATCGGAGAAGCAGGATGAGGTTACCGGCTTTGCCCCCGTGATCTCTTTGAGATTTTTAATAGCATGTAACACCACGGTTTCACTGCTGCCAACAGCGCAGCTCGGCTGTGCCAACCTGTCCTGACAGCCTGTCTCAGGTGCGCTCAGGGATGGGGCTCAGCACAGCCCCTGGTCAAGCACCATCAATGGGAACAGCCCTGCCTGGCTTCCAATTTAAGGCTCTGGACCCTGCTACTTTGGAACCAAAAATTCCCTAAATGCACCTCAAAATCTCCCTTTATACATTCGGCAATTACACCACGCAGGGGCTTGCATTTTAAACCCAACGCAACCAAGATACTACATATATCAAACCATGATGTGGCACGTATCAAACCTGACATGAAAGTGAGAAGCACAAGGAAAACAAGAGCCCCACGGGCTATGGGCAGACAAGGACTAAAAGCTGCTGAGAGCTGCTTAGCACCTTGCAGTTCTCACGCTGTAAATTTCTACCATCCTCGGTCGTCAGCACATCTACAGTTTACATGGGTTTAAATACATGCTGAAAGACATAATACAACTCTTAAACGGGTTTTCCTAATCTCCTTCTGTCTCTTGTTATATCTCTGGGCTCATAACAAGGCTGCTTCCTGCTTTACTGTTTTTATTAGTTCACCCTTTCTTTCATTCACTTACTCTTTCTGTTCTTTTTTCTGTTTTTTTTTTTCCCTTAATGCACTTCATTTCTTTTGTCAGGTTTTTACAATTGCTGAGGTTCCAGGAGAATATTTTTTATATTCTGTTATACTTATTTACATGTGGGTCTTTTTTTCTGTTGTGTTTTCTTGTTTTGTTTTGTTTTTTTAATGTATTTTTGGCTCCCTTTGGAGAGGACTCGAATCCTGGTATTTAAATATTTAATTTGTGAATTTGATCCTGCACTGTTGTCACAACTATTTATATTATATTTACTACAAACCTGCTTTTGCCAGATAAGAACAGTCTGCAGCATTTTTTGTCTTAGTTCCTAAAGATCCAAGGAAATGTTTTAATATCAATTTTTTTTCTGTTTTGTCCAAAGAAATATGTGGCCAAAGGACCTGATGTGAAATATGGTATTTCTGAGGATCGTGTTAAATCACGTGAGATAAGAAAATGCTCTTATTTTTCAGAAATAAGCGTTGAACGAATCTGTTGTTTTCATGTCACGTTCAATTTTTTTTACATACTCTAGACCTTTTGCTCACGCACAAGTGCACAATGTCTTTCATTATGGATATGCCTCGCATTTTCTTCCCCTGCGGTGTCCTCTGTGCATATGTAACTGCACAGTGTTTTAATTTGAAACGTAAATTCCATTTTATTTTGTACAATATTATCCATTAGAACACGTTGTTGGCCTCATAACCCCAGAGCCACTTGGACAACCTTCTGCTCATGAGTATGAGATCCCGTCAACGTTTCAGTGAGTCCGTGGAAAGGCGGGATGCCCAGTGCCCTGTTAGGCGGAATTTGGCGGCTGCGCCATGGGCCCTCCTGCCATGAGCTGTGCAGGGCCGCAGATGGGTTCAGCTGCCCCAGCGAGAAGAAGAGAACAGGCACAATAGTTCATTATGAAGGTACGGTATAGAAACAAGAGCTAAGGCGAGTCTTCTGTTGCAGGAGCTTTCATCGCACTCCAGGCAATAAGCACGTAACTTTTAGTACTGGTAAGCTAAGCGTTGCGTTGGGCTTTGTTAGACATGGAAGGTTAGATGTGGTCTGTTTGGTCTTTACACCAGGGAGAGCAAATACTTGAAGGCAAATGCTGTATTCTTACAGGGAATTTCTGAAGATATTGTCACATCACATAGGTCTCTGACAAAACAAAACAAAAAATACTTTGATCAGCTACTTAGATTTCTCAGAGTTTTCCTTGAAGAGAGCCTGTGTCTCTTGAAAGCTGAGATCAAAGTAACTGTAAGCTCCTGGATAGGAAGAAAAATTGCAGAAAATTACATACATTCTTTTTATTTTATTCGAGGTAATGGACAGCCAGAGAGAAGGAACAAGGGGAAAATGGAAGTGGCTCTGAAAGATAAATGGTTAGAATATCTTCATATTTGAAAGAACAACCCTGCCTGGTTTGGGCTTTTTTTTGCTCATACTTCATGTATTTGCAGTAGTTACAGCAATGTTTTACACTTGGAAAAAGTAATGATGTTAACATTCTTATAAGAAGAGGTTGCCTCAAATAAAACTTCAGAGGCAGCCGAATGAAAGAAGAAAATAAGGTTAAAATATGAAGCTTAATATCACCAGGGGGCATCTGGTGTGTCAGTCAGATGGATGAGGTAAGCTGATTTATGCCCTACAAACTTTAGCCAAGGTGTTTCTGATGCTGAAGAGGATTTAATAGACTGCTGGCCTCCCACAGATCATTGCTAACTGCAAGGGAGATTTTTGCTGAGGTAGAACTGCAATCATGTGTGTCTCCGTTGCTTGTGAACACTCGACAGCTCCCAAGCTGTTTATTTTTTTGCCTTTTCCCTTTCTATTGATTTTTGGTTGTATTTTCTTTGCCAGCTATAGTCGGCAAATGGCCGAGTAATAAATTTATATTTCCAAGTTGTAGAGAGGATTTGATTTAGCAAATAATTTTTACCATTTGGAGCAGCTCAAAATGAGTTTTCCAGTTGCCTTTGCAGTTATTTTCTCCCCTTTTATGCCATTTTGCTGCATTGTCATGCTTGTTGTCTTTGATTCTCGGAAAGCGACGCTTTAGTGGTGACAGTGGGATATTGCCTCATTACAGGCTTCCTTGCCAGATGAGTTCCTTAGTGCCAATTACTATTCAGCAATGGATGCTGCAATAGGTCAGCCTGTACTTTTTGCTAGTCATTCTTTTTTTTCACATGCTTTGCTTCTGTCTAAAGCACTTAGAAGCAAATTGCGCTCCTGCCTTGATAATTGTTGCACTGCTACTCAGGGGGACTGTGCCGGGGGACATAGGTATTCTCTGCATGTGTGGAGCTCCACAGGGATCACTAACCTGGTGGTAGGAGGCATAGGGCCAAGGCCATAGGAGATCATCAAAGGCTAAAGTTTCTAACTTCTTAGGTGCTTTGTCTCCTGAGGGCCAAATTGCTCCTCCACATTTCATGTGTTTCCTATCTTCTATATTTAGCCCAGGTGTAGTGCAGAGATTTTGTCTTTCAGAGCAAGTGCTTTGACCAGTTGTGGCAAACCTAAATGTGGTGATAACGGCCTCTCCCAACCCCAGGGAGGGCTCAGAAAGCAATTACACTGAAACTTGGGGTTGCTGAGTAGTGCAGTAACACTGACCATGTCAGTCCATTCAATTGTGTCGTGCTTGGGTACCAGAGCCCACGAATCTAGTGTGAACCACTGGAACATCAGACAGTGAGCAAGGGCAGCATCTCCCTGATAGCTGAAGGTAGCTGCGTGGCATGACACAGCAACTGGAAGATAATTTCAAACAGCAATATTAAACTGTGTCACTCAATTAAACATGAAGATATGGATGACAGGGCTTGGAGTTAAATGTTGATTTATACTAGGTGTTCTCTGAGACATTGTGCTGAATTATCTTCTTTGGCTGCTGGTGTTTTAACCCAATATGGCCTAGAGAGACCTGCAAGGTTATTTTCACAAGTAAACACCCCAAATCTGTAGTGTAAAGCCAAATGCAGGAGACCTTTGATCGACAAAGAGTTAAACTGTAACTACTTGTCTCTGTAATTTTGCAATAAATCTGTTTATGATGTGTTGTTTGTGTACCTAATTATAAATTTGGAACAAAATTCTCTTTTACCATAATTTCTGTGATGTCAACTGAGATTTTCACGCTGGGAATTTAAGCTAGTTGCATGATTGGCTTGGTGTAACTGTGAAGATACTAACAGCATTTTTTTAATGTAAAAGTAATTCTGAAATAAAACTAAAATGGTGGTTTAAAAGCATGTGTGGGCAAAGGCATAATTGATATACAGCATTGCCACAGTATCAGTATGACTCTGCTAGTGTAATTGAGAACAGGATTTTGCACCGTACCAAGAGCAGCACCCCAATTTCCTTTCCCTATGATGCTCACGTTTGAGTTGAAATTTACCAACAGGTCATTAAACTGATGGAGACGTAGCATTGGTGCATTCTGCAAAGATAGTATTTTTCAAATGAAGTGCCATACTGGAAATACTGGTTTAGAAATAAAAGTTTAGCATCTCTGCATACGCCTAAAGAAGCAACTTCATCTTGTGGGGGCCAGGCTATTCTGACTGGTGCCTGAGACAGCTCCTACCCCCACCCAGGGCAGCTTTGTGGCATTTGTTGCGCTGGCTCTTAGGATTCCTCTGCAAGGAACAGAACTGCCTTAAAGAAACTGATGTTTGATCAGTTGCTTTCGATTTTGCTGCCTCAGAGACTATCTTTGGTTATTTACTTCATTGCTTCACAAAAGCTCTAAAGCAAAGACAGAATTTGTCAGTGACAGCAAGGAGAAATGGGAAGGAGTGAAAGGAGAGATTATGTGAGCCCTTTTAACACAAAGAACTGTAGTATAAGTTAAGAAGATTATTTTATCTTTGGCTCCTCTGACAGGTCCCCTGTTACATAAGTGTTCTGCTTTTTCGAGTTAGGTATTGCCTAAACGTCAGTCAGAGCCATTTCCTGAAATAGGAACACAGAGTTTATTTAATTTGGGGAGGTTTAAGTATTTTCCATTTCAGAATAATAAATATATAAGATATAGGATCTCTTCTATGTAAATGCTACATTCTGGGAATATACAGGAGTATGTTTAGACATACTAAAAATTTCTTAGTCATGATTTTAAGAGTAAAGCTTTGATTTTTGTCCTGACATTGCTACAGCAAGCTTTCATGTCAAAAGAAACCCACTGAAGATGTTGATTCATTGGGAAAGGGGTGAAATGTCATACTCTTAATTACATCTTTTCATTTTCCAAGCTCCTCCTAGAGAACTGACAGAAGAAGAAAAACAGCAAGTTCTCCATTCAGAAGAATTCCTCATATTTTTTGACCGGACAATACGTGTAATTGAGAGAGCTTTGGCTGAAGATTCAGACATCTTCTTTGACTACAGTGGCAGAGATGTAGAAGAGAAAGATGGGTCAGTTTGGGGTTTGTTTGTTTTTGTAAAATAACCTTTATGAAAAGAATTCCAATGCCAGGAAGCCTTAATTTTAAAACTAAACTAAACATTTTTATAGTTAAGAAAAGTTTAAAACCTCTCCATGAAGACCTGGGTCGCTTTGTTAGCCTAATTTGTTTTGTAAAATAGCCTCATGCAATAGCACTCTGGGGTTGGTTTTTTTTGACACATTATGCAGGTGGTTTAATTTTTTATTTCATTTTTTGGGGATAAAATTTCAAATTCTGAAGAAAAACATTAATAATTGAAATAGATAAATGTGTGCATACACATGTATATGTAGATGTCCATGTGTATGTTCCAGTGTGCTTGTATCATGATATTTTTACAAATTCAAATTGCTGTTGTTTATATTCTACTACTGCCTCAGGTCTGTAATGGATCCCACTGTGCTATGCATTGTTTGGATGAACATGGTGATCTCCCAAAGTGTTTGCAGTCTAAACACGTAAGACAAGAGATGGCAGGTTGTGTATTCAGCAGTTGATAGGGGAGTATAAGAGGCAAAACTTGTTAGTAAGAGGGAAAGTATTTAGATTTCAGTAGCTGTATATCCACTGAAGCCTCACGGTAAATCAGTAGCCGCCTTGCACTGAAGTTGCTTACTGGAGGTTACTCTAGAGCATCACCTCCGTGACCGGTTAAGTGCACCAGTGTGGCAGTGTTGGACCAGAGCTGAGCTTCAGCCCATCCTACTGGTGCCAGAAGGCATCCACCGTCTCCATCGCTGGGAGGAGGTGCTGTAACTTTAATATTTCAGGAATCAAAAATAACAGAGATTTGGTTACAGCTTGGAGGTGAAGATTCAGAAAAAGGAGGAGATGAATGCCAGGGCCAGATTCAGTCCTGAGAGATAAAGGTGGCAGAGGTGGCCCAGGGTGAATCAGAAGAGTCAGGAAGGCAGTGAGAAATTAAGAAATGGGGTTTTGTGAAACAGACAGTGAAAGCAATTAAATCAAGGTGGCAGACGTCCCCAGGCTGGGCAGAGATTTGAGAAGTAGTAGTCAGAAACTTTTGCATTGCTTTTCACAGCATTTGAATGGAATGTGGAATTTTGTACTTCAAAAGTGTCACTTTGTTTGAATCCACACAGAGATGTTCAAGCAGGAGCCAACCTTTCCTTTAACCGTCAGTTTTATGATGAGCACTGGTCAAAGCATCGTGTTGTCACCTGTATGGATTGGTCTCTTCAGGTAAGATGTGAAGCCAGGAGATGTGTTTCCATATCCCTTCCATATCCCTTCTCCCTAAAAAAATACGGCCAGCCTCAGTTTGCCCTTTGTTCTGCAGACTATGATGTTATTTTTTAGCTAACAGCAGGGCCCTGAGTGAGTGAACACAGGTTTCTCTGTAAGGAAGAGTAGTGACCAATACTGATTTTTAAAATATTTTTTTTAATGTGTTACTTGGTCTTCAAAACTAGGATGTTTTATTAAAACCATAGGTTAACAAACCTACTAGGATGAAAGGGTCCTTACTTTTCCTCCTCTCTCCACACCTTGAGCATATGGAAATATTTTTAGGACAGAAGGTTTAAAATTAAACCAATTAAAAATCATTTACTAAATATGTAGCTATTAATTCAATACAGTTATACATCATAATACTTAAAAAATAAGAATAGTGAGGAATAAAATTTATTTTTCTAATATACTAAAACTCAAAATGTGAAATCTATTCAACTTGAAAAGATTGAAAAGAGGTCTTTCAAAAAATGCTGGGTCCTCTCTTCAAGTGATGGAAGAGGCGGCTGCAGCTGGCCAGGGGGCATGCAAAAGCAGCATGCCTGGAACGTATCCAGTTTCTGTGCACCACAAAGCATTGTCATATTGCAAAATAAAACCAACGATAGAGCTGCTTAAGCTTCCCAAAACCAATACAGCCACATCAGCAAAGCACAGAAACCAGGTTGATTAGTTACTCCGTTGGAGAGCTGGGATTAGTACGCACAGACATCATCACGGGTCCTGTGAAATTCATTCAGTCCCATTTTCACTCCAGCCCCCCTCATCCTCTCTGCGTCGTCCCCGTTCCTAGGTTCCAGCCTGGAGCAAAGCAGCTGGTTTCCCTGGGGAGGGAACCAGGGAGTCTCTGCTCCAAGGTCCACAACACAGATATAACGAAACTGCTCCAGGAGGATATAGGCTTGAAAAATGAGAATGCAAGCCAGTCTGCCTCATTGGCCCCAGACCCAGCCTCAGGCATGTCCTGGTGCGTCCAGAGCCCCGATGCAGGCTGGTGTGGGTAGCAAAGATGGTATAGGTGTAGCTCAGCCTAGTGCTAAGAAGAAGCTTTACTTAGCCTAATCTTAGAAGTAGCTGCTTCTAAGCTCTTTCTGTACCATGTTAGGTGTTGCGTGTGGAGACGGCATGTGTTTAGGGCCAAGTACATGAATGGTGTACGCGGGCTGGAGAGAGGCAGTGGATAAGGAGCGCAGTGACTCTCACATCCATCCTTCTCTCCTTCCCCTTGAAATGGCAGCAGGGCTGCTTCCATCCCTTCAGGTACTTCTCAGGTAGGGTGGCAGCTGACTGCACGGAGGAAGTGGCAGGCAGCAGGGAGGAGTCGGAGGGTCTCACCGAGCATCTCCAGTAGGCTGTGCAGGTCGGGCTGTCCCACCAGCTGCGGTGCGCAGCAGCCAGCTGCAGAGAGGCTTCCTGTAGTATCCAGCTTGCGCCCCACGTGTGAAATGAAGGATTTATCCCTTTGCTTTCATACAAAATATCAGCTTAACAACAGGTATGCGATGGTGTGACGTGGGTGGCCTTTAAGCACATATGGATTTCCACAGAAATCAAATATAAGCCTGAGGAAACACTTATCTTAAGTTGTTCACTTGTTCAGGGGCTGGAAATTACATGGAATTCTTATCTGATATTTTCCTAACAGACAGTTCCTACTGTATTCCCAGGGCAGCAAGAAAAAAAGCTGCCTCAGAAGAGCACTGCCAAATCTAATTGCTCAGCCCCTGGGGCTTGAAGGCATGTTCTGCTTCCCACCTCTTTGTTCCAGGGTGGCCCCTCCTGCCTTCCCCTCCGTTAACTCCTCACGCTCAGCTCCTGGCACCCCAGTGGGAGCTCCTCTGCCCCGGCAGCTTCTCCGTGCTGGGGGGCTTCTGCATGCCACCCTACGCTAGTTTGGGAAGAGGGAACTGCCTCCTCTCTTGCCTGCTTCAAGGTGTATCATGCAGCAGGAGCTGGAGCTGATGGAGGTATTTCACCTAACCGCTAGTTCCGCTTCTCACCCACGCTCCAGGACATGGAAGTGTCCAGTATGCCAAAGAATAATGTGAATAATCATGCGAACTGCAGAACACGTTGCTCAATCTTCTTCGATAGAACTGTTGCTGCTAAACAGCCTGGAGGCAAATAGAAGCTTAATCAAGCAAAGGACCTTGATGCATTGATTAAACAAGTTCTTCTCTTCTCAGTCACATGTAAAATACAGTCCCAAACATGTGGGATCATTCATACCATTAAAGCTAACCCACTAGCCCCTGGATTCTTTTGCAGAGCAAAGGGAAAATAGCTTAGATGCTTCATTAAGGATCTAAGGGAAAGGCCCAACAGGCTGAGTGAAAACACAGAGTGAGAGTGAGTTCACCTTGCTTTGTCCATGAGGAAGCAACTCAGCTCATCTGAAGTCAAGAAAACCACAGTCTCAGGGATATTGCTGTGTCTCTCGACTCTCGGGCAGCAGCTTTGAGTGCTATTTCCCACAGCAGCATTTCCACATTGTTTTCAGTTGCAGTCACAAGGCAGCTGGGCATCTGGTGAGGACTGAAATCATGTAATGCAAGTAGATTGAGTGAAGCAGTGAGTGTGCAATGCCAGCATGGATTTAGGGTGCTGCACTTAGCTCTGTTTTTTTTAAGGATCAAAAAGCCTCATAATGGTGTTGCCCAGCTAGGTATGACCCCAGTGTCTGCGTAAACTTGAAACTCTATTTCCAGTCAGATGCATAAACTCTGATTGCAAAACTTAGGTATAGACCAGCAAGATTTGAGTCAGTGTTTGTTTATGGCCAGACATGCTGCCAACAAGAACATGCTCGCTAAACTTTCCAGGAGCATGAGCCAATCCCAAAGTGCCTCTAAACTGGTGCTTAGACCTGGTCGCATACCCTAGCTAGCTGCAGTCGTGCTGGTGGAAGGCCTCATTGCTTCTGCCTGCCAAGATATCTGCCCCTTCACCACTGCCAGCTCAGCTGCTCACATGGGTATTACCTAACCTGTTCAGCCAAAACGAGATGCCCTGGGAAGAGCCTGCTGCACACACTGTTTACTTGGACCTGGACCAATGTGAGATGAAAAGGTTCAAAGGAGAAGCTGAGCTCACTGTTCAGAAGTGGTTGTAATCTCTGGCGCGGGAGAGAGAGAGAGAGAAGAGGAGAGTGAGATGGATGACAGCAGCGGAGGGCAGGCTGGCACAACTGCGTCCAGAGAGACGGTGTCTCAGGTGTGGAATTAACACACCCTCAGGTCTCCCTCAGTTCCTGAGGAGGGAGATGAGGCACTTGGTCTGATGCATGCTCTAAATCCCATGTAAGTGATTTGGGTGCTAAATTGCCCTTACAAGCAGTCAGGCTCTGCCAGGATGTAGGTACAACTCACTCAGAGCCGCCTCAAAATGGGAAGGAGGTGGCATGGTGGCCACGTGTCATTGCTGGTTCTCCCACACGTGAGTCCAGGCTCATTTGGAACAATGAGCTTGAATAGAAAAATCATCAGTTCCATGATGTATTGTCCATGGAAGTGTACACAAAGTGGGAAAGAGCAGCTGATGATGGCAAAAGTTATAGCTGTGTGCATTATTTCTTCCAAATGGATTTTGAGAGCAGAGATTTGCAGAGACCATTGAGAAATTTGGAGAGAAAGCATTCCTAGTCTACAAGAGGAGGGTGTGGGTCCTGCAGAACCTGGGCTGCTGGCTCATTGCTCTGCGGAAGCCACGTGCTTTTCTCTGGACATGCCATAAGGTCCACTGCCTTACTTTGACTAGTTAGAGGGAAGGACAGAGGCTACCAGAGATGCCTGGTGTCAAACATGTGAGAGTGAAGAACTGGGTGCTGTTGTATAGGCAGAAAGTAATTGATGCTTTGTGGGCAAATTGTTACTTCTGATGGGGTTTTGAAACGATACAAGGTCATCAGCAGAATGTGAAAATCTGATTTTTCACATATGATATTATGTGTGTATGTATATATGTATATCTATATATAAACAGAGCAAATACATATGTGTGCTGCATATCTACTGCTATGCATCAGTGGATAATGGATGTACAAGAAAATGTGGATCTGATTTTAGAGTGCTCATTGCATCAATCTTACTGAGTCAGTGGAATTTGAGGTCACCCTGTGCTTTACAAGATGACCTCAGCATCTTGCAAAATTGAGCTTCTGTGAAAAAAATGTTTTGTTTGCTATTTGAATCATCAAGAAGAGCTTTCAAGTTGATTCTATGCATAAGTGAATAGGAAGAGTCCATAATGAAATAAGAAAGAATAGGTTTCAGGGATGCTGAAAAAAATGAATTTCAGAATAAAAGCAAGTCAACGTTATGGTCATAGTGGTTTTATTATCAAAATCAATTAAGACAATATTTTTTCCCTGAAGAAATTGTTAAACAAATATGTTAGAATTACTCAAGCTTTCAGATTTTTCCTCTTCCTTGCTTTGCATTCCCTTTATGAATATCCTGCTAGTTTTCTGAGAATTATCTGCAGAAAATAACATTGCCTTTGTGGTATCTGAGACTAACTGACAGAGAGCAAGGGGCAACAGCTTTAAGGATGTCAGGGATGAGCAAAATAGAAAACCAAAATGAAGATGAATACTATGATTGGACTAGTGTGCATTATAATTAAAACCAGATATTGCACATTTAGTGGAGATTATTTCTGTCTCATCTGATTTTGCATAGGTTCTTCATCATTCGTCTTATTTAATTTGCATTTTCTTTTTCTTTCAGTACCCTGAGTTGATGGTTGCATCTTATAACAATAATGAAGATGCTCCACATGAGCCCGATGGGGTAGCCTTGGTATGGAACATGAAGTTCAAGAAAACTACACCGGAATATGTTTTCCATTGTCAGGTAAGACTGAGGAAGTCATTAATTTCATGCTAGACAAAACAGAGTTTACTACATGGTGCATCTTCCCACTGTTTATATGAAGAGGTTGAGATTAAAAACACGCATTTTTGGAAAAAGTACAAGCAGCAGTCTAGTGTTTTTAGAAGGCAACCAGGCTTCTCAAACAATACTGAAAGCCTGTCAGGGCTGCGTGTCATTCTTTGTCTATTTGAAACAGTCCCTAGGAGATTTAGTTTATAAAGCCCTTGCACTTATGAAGTAACTGTGGTGTACCACTTCCTCATCCAGGCAGCGACATGTGCTTTCCCACCCACGTTAGCTTCCTTGCGTCCTCTGCACTCTAAGCTGCCTACCCTTGCCTTGGTTCTGCTCAGTATCATGTTTTGCCTTTAAAATTGGGAAGTACACTTTGCATTTCTGGGCGTGCATCTTACAGCTTGGTAAAAATGGTCTCAATTACAAGGACTACTCAACCAATTCCTGTTTGACTGTCCTTTAGGTTAGCAAACCAGTGCTTCACTTCACTCAGTGCTACTTTATGACCATGCTATTTTAGAAGTTTAGGGACAATTCAAAAATAATTGGGTGTTTTATTTCTGTAGGTCTGTTTATTCCTCTTTTACCCTGCTTTTGTGCGTGAAATGGCACAGCCTCATATTGACAGAAATGTTCTGCTCATTGGCTCTATCTCCATCAAACTGTCCAAACTGTGGAACAGGGCTTGGGCCAAATTTCCAACCTCTTCATCAATATCCTTCTGTGGTAATTAAATACAGGACAGTGGTATTCAAAAACCCATATGGAAAAGTTTCAGCAACTAAAACTTAACAATCAGAGATTAGTAAAATGCAGATTATTCTGCGGTAAAAATTGCTTCTTTCGGAAGGATATGTATTACCTGGCTAATTGTGTAAGCTAAGTGTCATTTTACATTCAAGGACCAAACATCTTTTTGAACTAAGTTTATATTTGGACTTGGGTACATTATCAGATGTAACATAGTAGGAGGGAGTTGCTGGAATTGAAGTTACTGCTTCAACCCGATTAAGTAACCTTTAATTCTGGGCATGTTTTTCTAATTTGCTATACTGGAAAACAACTTCACAAGGAGTCTAGGCCTGCACAGCAAATATGTCATACAGATTTACATACATATATATGTATGTGTGTGTGTGTATTACCTTTGAAATGAGAACTTGCATTTTTCTGGATATCATATTCGGCAGACTGATCTGTTCCTTCAGACTGCTTAAGATCTTAGCTCAGATCCCATGTCCAAATTCTTCTAGGATGTACATGCAGCTTAATGTTTTAAACAAAATATTCAAGAGAAGAGATTGCCTATTGCATTTTCAGGAAGAATAATCCTTAAACTGAATTGATTTGGCAAGGTAATAAGCAGATTCAGGGTAGCCCTTCTGAGTACACAAAGGGGAGATTGACTACAGACACAACAGTGTGCTCTGTTAACTAAAAATTCTATCTAGTTTTAAAAGTAGGTACACTTAAACAGGGGAGGTATGATTCACTAGATTGAAAGTTTTGAAACAGGCTATACTCTGCGTTAGAAAAACACACATAGGACAAAGTGGTGGCCCGAGATTTGGCCTGGCTGAGCTTCTGTCTAATTCTCCTATTAAGTCAGATGTCCAGTTTTTTAGAACTGGAACCTTAAAATCTGTGAATTGAGGACACATATGGCACTGTGCTTTCACATGCATCCTGGATTCATCATTTTCCAGTTAAATTAAATCAGTTTTTCTGTTGATGAGAAATATTTATTTTCTTGGTTAAACTGTCCACAGATAATTTGTATTATAAGTCCATTATGAGTTGGAAGCATGTTTGAACCACCATTACAAGGCTTCTGACCTGTGGAATATCTTCTGCATCTCAGATTAAATAGGGAAGCAAAAAGCATGAGACTTGGTCTCTTGAACACAGGTTTTGTTCTGACTCAGATGGAAAATAAGAAAAAAAAATTATCTTAGCTCAGAATCTGGAATTCAGTTCTGTAGATCATCATGTTATTCTGTTAGTTAGTGGAAACCAACTATATTATTAGTCAGCCCCATATCATTTATATTGCCATTTTGCAAGAGAGACATTCCCTTATTCAGTCCTGATTCAGTCATTTCTCTAGGTCTTCTGTGAGACAGGCTCAATTTTTCTTCTGCAATACATGACCTTATAACAGTCCAGCCCAGCAGCTAGGGATGAACACACACCTTATCATTACAGCTAGGTTGCCCAGATATGACAAACAAAGTATTTTGAGCGTATTTTCCCAATAGACATCTATTTTCCTTTTCAAAGACTTTCTACAAAAACATGGTCTTAATAAATACTATGGTACTGACTAATATACCTTTTGCCTTTTAATTTTTGGGCTCACGGACCAAGATGAAAACAAGGTGAAATTCATTTCAGATGTGACTGTCAAGGAAATCATGCAAGCCACTTCTGAGAAGCCAAATCAATAAATAGGTTTATGAAGCCATTTCTGACGAACTTCTAAGAAATTCTAGCTCAGGACTTCTGATAAAATCAGTAGAAATAGGTATGTGAAACATCTCTGGACAGCTAAAGAGCAGGCTGAACTTCAGCAGGTAGAACTTCAGATACCTCTTGTACACATTTAGTAAATTCTTGAAGCTAAGAACCATAATGTCTTTCTGTCTTTCCTGGTATATTATATAGATTTAAGTGAGATAATTACCAAGGAATTTCTTCATTTTCTTTACCTCTTTCGGTCGCTTTTTGTAATCTTACATAGGATCATTGAAATTGACATAATCAGAACAACAGGCTTTCCCAGTGCCTTTGCTGAAAGTTGCCAGAACCCAGGGCCTTCAACTGAAGTTGTCTATCAGCCACAGCAGACGATGCAGAAATCTACCAGTGATGATGTTTTTTTCCTAACTCCAATCAGGAAAACATTTGGTTTCAGTCCTCAAATGTGAAGCATGATGTATTCTGTAAATATGAAATTCTTGCCCAATTTAAAGTCATATTTAGGTTGTTGGCTCATTAATACAATGTAGGTGTTAGTAAATTTTATAGCTCTACAATATGTCATGCTACAAATACTGGGTTCGATTTTAGTTAATATGAATTAAGGGAAAAATTACTATCAGCCAAGTGGACTTATTTAATCTACACATTAATTTGTGTGAACTGCCATGTGATCTATCAAATCTTTTCTAAACAAAACAGTCCTACTGGCTTCTACTCTCTCCTTATGTGGAATATTTCTTTTCTTGTATTTGTCTTATTTTTGCCCTTCTTTGGGTTTTTCTATTTCTACTTTACCCAGTGATGTGCTGACACTATTTTAGCTGAGACTCCCACAGATTTTTTCCTTTATAGATCATCATACATCTCTTTACCACAAGGGTAAATGGGAAAACAAGGATGAGTGAAGGATAGGGCAATTTGTTCGTTTATTTTCCTGTGCAAGCAAAAAAATGTTGTTTCAGAAGCAAAATCAAAATGAAAGGGTGATAACATTTGCCAAAGGAATGAATGGTCAATGCTTTCCTTAGATAGTGAAGAATAAATTGAGCATGCAGTTAATACTGCAGAGTGCAGAGTGGGAATGTCTTTGTAGGCAGGAGTCAGGGATGTCCTCTTCCCCCATGCTGGAGCATCACAAACTCTTGGTGTAATCTAGTGCATTCCAAAAACAAAACCCAAGCCTTTCAGAAGTATGAGGCCCTGAGGATGAGTCATCCCTGGTTGGGTTGGCTTGCAGTATCCAGAGAGGGAATGAATTCCAGCAACAACATGGAAATCACATTGACTCTCCGTCAGTTTGGTGGGAGAATTTTAAGCAGTGATTCACACTGCTTCTGCCAGCTACTGTTCGTCTGCGTTTAGGTGGGGGTGGCAAAAATGAAAATAGTATGGCATGGTTATTGATGATATGACTCAACATGAGCTCAATCCTATATCAATTTATGCAATGCACGGGGCTAGCCTTGTATATGAACATTTGTGTACTATGGATTGATAGAGTAGCGTCAATGATATTTCTCAGTCTTACTCTCTTCCTTAGAAAGTGCCTAATTATATTATAATATAATGTATTATATTATATATAGACATATAATATGCATATTATAATATATAATATATATAATATGTCCGTAATGTGTTTTTTCACTGAACAAACAAATTAAAATCTAATTACCCATTAATTATGAGGTTTATTTGTAATGCAATGCCCATTGTTTATGTACTACATGTCATCTCTGCCCATGATGTTGTTTGTGTTTCCTGGTGTTCTGATCTAAGCCTTCTAAGCCAAAGTGACCTGAAGAAGTATCTGAAACTTTGCATCAAAATATCTAGTTGAGTGAGGCAAATGAGCATTCAGACTGTGTTTGCAATAAATTGGCTAGTTGAAGTCTGAGCGACTATACCCTTCCTTTCAGCAGGGCCTGTTAACAGGGGTACAGCACTGCTTTTATACCAAATCTCATAGCTTTTGGGTTAGAGCTGGTCCGCGCAGACAGAAGTCACAAGGAAAAGAAATAATCAGTGGATCTAAGGAACTTTAGGGTATTACAAACCATTTCCTTTCTTCTGGAACTGAAGAGGGGTTATTAAAGTTGATTGAGGTATCTGGATCTCAACTTCAACATCCATCATTTCAGGAGAGGAGGGGTGGAAGAACACAGCTAAAGATACTAGTTTCATGCAAATAAACCAAATTGAATGTTACTTTCTGATTTGGAAGACTCTGCATTGTGTTTGGAAAGTTTGATGAATTCTGCTTTACTACACCCAATCTAATGATAGCAGCAACAAAAAAAAATTACTACATTGGCTGCGTTTTGATTTATTGTAGCTTATTTCCTGATGTATTAATTTCCTCTTTCTCAGCTATGTCTTTTCCAAATGCCTCAGAAGGGCAGTGAGAAGTACAAATCTGACACTTAGAAGTAACTTCATTCAGTGTATTTTTAAGGAGTGCACATGTGAAGTAGCTTTTATTT